ACCTACAGCTCTGAGCCCCCCAACTCAGGCCTAGCGCGCAATGCAAAGAGCCGCCTCCCCTTGTTGCAATGCTGGGTCCCTGTCCTTGCCAAGTGAGGGCCACCCGCCTGAGGCTCCCGCCCCCTCACAGTGCCCCGCCTCCCCTCCCTAAGGCACTGCAAGCCCTTCTCCCCGCCCCAAGACCTGAGCGCTCTCCTTGGCTGAAGGATGAGGCGTCGCGCATACCCGCCCAGCTTCCTCCTCACTCCTCTACCGAAAAACACCACCCTCCCAGCTATTTTACGAGTGCTAGGGTTGCCAGACCCAGGCCAAGGCAAGACTGCGCCCCTCCCACCAAATTTTCTCGCCTTAAGCCCCTTTGGTGGACGGCTCACTAGGAAGATACAGGGAGCAGCTACAGGGAGATGTTTACTGTGCATGCTTGGTTGGTATTATCTTGGAGCCACAGCTTTCTGAGGATCGCAGTGGGAGGCCAGAGCAAGGAAGAGGCTCTATGGCGAAGGAGTGGCTGGAGGGACAGGGCCCGAAAGAGACAGATGGATCCGGAGCGACTGAGGAAAAGGGACAGATTTGGCCGGGGATCTTGGGGCTGGGCAGAAGCCAAACTCTTAAAGGGCTTGATGAATTAGGAAGGCAGCTAGGCAGAGACTAGCCAACTCCCATGCAGAGTAAGGGCTCAGTGTTCGAATGTGCAACCAACGTGGTGACCTCTCTACAGTCTGGGGAGCGGGCGACCACAATTCTGCAAGGTCGGGAGGCTGGGATCTGGGGGGACGGAAAGACAAAAGGCAACAGGCTACTGGTACTTTCCCACATAGCTACAAGCCTGGAGGGTGAGCAGCAGATCCCTGGAGTAGAGCTCTGGTGCCACCGTAGTTATAGTACCCTTCAAGCATGGATGGGAAAGGTTTCCACATCAGCCCTATCAGTAGCGGACACCTGAGCATTCAGACATTTTACTTGGCTATCCCTGGCTCTAATGAGAGGACTGCAGGCAGGGAAATCTCCAACCTGTTCAGACAAAACCCGGAGAGATAATGGCCAGAAAATGACAACCAACTGTCAGGTAGCTTTGAGGACCTAGACTACACCCCCTCCCCTTTACCTTAAAATTGTATTGGATACCAAATCGAACACCTGAAGCCGGCCTTTGAGTTTGCAGGTTGAGACACTATCTAAAAGGTGCTTCAGGCTCTGGAGTCGGAGTGGTACACTTCCACTCTGCCCTGTGGATGGATGGACCAACACACATACATACAAGCTCTGGAGAGGATTGGGGGGGGCGGAGTTTACACTCGTCTGATTCTTCCCAAGCAATTCCTCTTCCATCTAGACCAACTGGGAGACAGGGGCTCAGAGATGTTTGGGAACTGGAAGGAAAGGGCAGTGGGAGG